GGTTTTGGTTGCGCGGGGGGGGGGGCTCAGCTGTCCCCTTGTCCCCGCAGGATGCGTCCCCGATGGCTGCGCTGCCCAAGCTCTTCGCCGAGGAGCAGCTCCCGGCCGGCGTGGTGAGCACCCCCGGGGGACACAGAACTGTCCCCGTGTCCCCAGGGGTCGGTGGCCCTGTCCCCACTGCGGCTCAGCACCCCTGAGGGGACACAATCCTGGTCCCCAATACTGCTCGGCACCCCAAGGGGACACGAGCTCGTCCCCACACCCTTGGGGACACCATCCCTGTCCCCAGTGCTGCTCAGCACCCTCAGGGGACACAAACGTGTCCCCGTGTCCCCAGGGGTCAGTGTCCCAGTGCTGCTCAGCACCCCGGTGACACCCCCGGTTTGCTGTCCCCAACCCCCTCCCCCAGGTCTCCCAGTCCACCTCCTCCTTGGTGGACACCACCGTTTCCAGCGCCTCGCGCCAGCTGATGAAGAAGAAGCTGAAGATGCTCAACATCGCGAAGAAGTGAGGGGCCACCAGCGCATGGAGGGAGGCGGGGGGTGGCTGTCCCCCGATGTCACCTCCCTTGTCCCCAAGGTTCCTGCGCATCCCGAAGGAGCTGCCCACGCTGCAGCTGAAGGAGCCGCCGCCCTCGGTGCTGGAGGCCGACCTGACCGAGTTCGACGTGGCCAATTCCCATCTCCCCTCCGAAGTATCGCGAAGAAGTGAGGGGCCACCAGCGCATGGAGGGAGGCGGGGGGTGGCTGTCCCCCGATGTCACCTCCCTTGTCCCCAAGGTTCCTGCGCATCCCGAAGGAGCTGCCCACGCTGCAGCTGAAGGAGCCGCCGCCCTCGGTGCTGGAGGCCGACCTGACCGAGTTCGACGTGGCCAATTCCCATCTCCCCTCCGAAGTCCTCTACATGCTGAAAAACGTCCGGTGAGGCTCAGGATCCCGGGTCAGGATCGGGCCCCGGGGGTCAGGATCAGGATCCCGGGTCAGGATCGGGCCCCGGGGGGTCAGAATCCAGCCCCAGAGGTTCAGGATCAGGCCTCATGGGGTCAGGATCTGGCGCGAGGGGTCAACATCCAGCCCCAGAGGTCAGGATCCAGCCCCAAGATCAGGATCCAGCCCCAGAGGTTCAGGATCAGGACCCATGGGGTCAGGATCTGGCCCAAGGGGTCAGGATCCCGCCCCAGGGATCAGAAGCCATCCCTGGAGGTCAGGATTGGGCCCTAGGGGGTGAGGATCCAGACCCAAGATGAGGATCCGTCCCTGGGGGGCCAGGATCAGAACCCAGGGGAGTCAGGATCCAGCCCCAGAGGTTCAGGATCAGGCCCCATGGCGTCAGGATGGCCCGAAGGGTCAAGATCCAGCCCCAGAGGTCAGGATCTGGCCCCAGGGTCAGGATCCAGCCCCAGGGATCAGAAGCCATCCCTGGAGGTCAGGATCAGGATCCAGGGTCAGGATCTGGCCCCAGGGATCGGGATCCTTCCGTGTGGCTCCGGACCTTGCCCTAGGGGCTCAGGATCCATCCCTGGGGCTCAGGATCTGTCCCCAGGGGTTCAGCATCTGCCACCCAGGGTTTCAGGATTCATCCTTGTGGGTCAGGATCTGTCCCCAGGGGGTCAGGATCTAGCCCTAGGTTCAGGATCCATCCCTGTGGCTCAGGATCTGTCCCCAGGGGGTCAGGATCAGGTCTCAGGTCTCAGGATTTGTCCCTAGGGGGTCAGGATCTAGCCCTAGGTTCAGGATCCATCGCTGTGGGTCAGGATCTGTCCCCAGGAATCAGGATCCATCCTTGTGGGTCAGGATCTGTCCCCAGGGGGTCAGGATCTGCCACCCAGGGTTTCAGGATCCATCCCTGTGTGGGTCGGGATCCATCCCTGTGGCTCAGGACCTGTCCCCAAGGGCTCAGGATCAGCCCTCAGGGCTCAGGATCCATCCCTGGACCGCTCCGCTGACGGATGCTCTTCCCTCTGCATCCCCATGCTCGCGGCAACCAGCCGCCTGGGCTTGGCTCTGGGGGACCGGGCCGGGTCCCGATGCGCTCCGTGTCACCCGCTGTCCCCGTCCTTGTCCCCGCAGGGTCCTGGGCCACTTCGAGAAGCCGCTGTTCCTGGAGCTTTGCAAGCACATGGTTTTCCAGCAGTGCCCACAAGGCGACTACGTTTTCCGCCCCGGCCAGCCGGATACCAGCATCTACGTGCTGCAGGATGGCAAGCTGGAGCTCTTCCTGACTGAACCGGTACGGGGACAACGAGGGCGGGGACAGGGACAACGAGGTGGGGACGTGGCGGGAGGCTGGGGACGCTGCGGGAGACGGGGATGGAACGAGCACAGTCTGTGGTTTGCAGGATGGGAAGGAGACGGTGATGAAGGAGGTGTTCCCAGGGGACAGCGTGCACAGTCTGCTCAGCGTCCTCGATGTCATCACGGTACGGGCGCCATGGTTGTCCCCAACACCTCCCCCCCGTGACAGACAGTGGCTGTCCCCAAGCCCCCTGAAT